TATACTCTCGCTGTTATCGCCCCAGTTCACCAAATACTGAATATTATACAAATTCCCCTTTCTATGAGGAAAAGGAATTTCAGATTCTGATATTTCATCTAATTTCCCACCTAATGGCTCCATTATTATCTGAGGTCTTTCTTCTTCCAAAAACAGTCTTTTTACCATTTCCCAACCACTTTCCGGAATTGGTGTTTTCACAAAAGCAGATGTGGCTTTGAAATAATTCTTCTGTGTTGGAATACTCTTTTCTAGTAGGACTTCAAGCGGCTCATTTGTTCTCTTGCCATAGAAATACAAGACTGATCCAATCCAGGAAGATTCGCGACATTCTTTCCTAATGCAAGGCCATTTGATGTTTTTCCTGTTCTTTTTTCATTTGTAACGCCGCATCTTATCATTTGTACTCTATATATATGAGTGTTGTGTGTTGATTATACAGAAAAAAAGACTTAGTATTACTGCGATGCAGTGTTTATTCTCTTCCGTTATACATGTGTATTTATCCGTATATCAAATATCAACGTAATTTGCATTTTTCGAACAAATTGGATCATGACACATAATTTTTTTAAAACTAATTCGATCATTAACTAAAAGAAATCGAGTAAAGAAGTTTAACACTATTGAAAAACAACATATTTTCGTGTGCATTAGTTTTGAAACCTAACTATTGCGTCCATGTGAAAAAATAAAACACTATGCGGGGGAGTAAAACTCTCCTATGAGCTTGCTCGCATTGTCTGTTTGAAGTCCGTATAATGGAGAAGAATTTTGATAGGCTAACAGTCAACATAAAACTAACTAATTGAAGAGAAATCTCACCATACAAATATAGCATGAGCAAATGATCAAACCGTAGCTTTGGTCAAAATCATGTGTATTTGTTTTAAGAAATTCATTGAATATGTACAAAATTACTAAATTTAGAACCCGATAACTTAAAAGGTACTAGTATCTCAATACTCAAACCCATAATCTTCAAATTCTGGCTCCACTTCTTATTTTCAGTTGTGACTACTTCCTAAAAGGGAAAGAACCCAAACATATAAAGAGGAATAGTACTTGTGAGTTTAGAATTACTATTTTTAGCTCTCTAACGAGCATATTGTTTCTTCGAGTTAATGGTTAAAAACACACTTGATTAACTATTTTTTTTTTGCGAGTTTCATACCTCAAATATCCATTATTCCATTTACCTATCTAAACTACAACTCCCTTTGTATTAAAGACACCTTAGCTGAGTTAGCCAAATATTTGTTCCCAATCAATAACACGTATTTGACCAACTCAACATTGAGGTATCTTATAATACAAATGGAGTGATAGTTTAGGTAATGAAGAGAACAATAGATTGTTAAGGTAAGAAACTATCTATTTCAACTCACGAAATAAAACAATAGATTATCTCAATTTACGAAAAAGTGATAGTTTATGTGTGTTTTTTTACGGGAAAATGCATAAGTACCCCCCCAGCCTATGCTTGAAATCCCAGAGACACACCTAACCTTTACTAAGGTCCTATTACCCCCCGAACTTAATTTATCTCTAATATTCTACCCCTTTTCGACCTACGTGGCACTATCCTTGAAAAAAATGTCAACATGCGCTGGGCCCACAAGATAGTGCCACGTAGGCCAAAAAGGGGTAGAATATTATTACATATAAAATAAGTTTTGGGGGCATGTTACTACAATCCACAACAGGCTCTTGGAAGCAATCTTTTTTCTCCAAATCAAATTCAGGGAATTTTTCTTTGAGCAATGGAATTAACTCATCAACAGGTCCGAGATATAGTGCTTGAAAAAACATTAAAACATACTGGTCATTCCCTGTTCCATCATTTTGGATAACTGTTCTGATGAACAAACCATCAGGTAGTTGATGTGATGTGTTTTGCCATTTTTGGAGTAGATTTTGGTTACTGTCTAACTTCTTGTAAACAGTGAAAACAGTAACCTTGTCCGGAACACGAACAAGTTTGAGTTTCCATGCTAAAATAACACCAAAACTTGCTCCTCCACCTCCTCTTATTGCCCAAAACAAATCTTCTTTCATTTTCTTCCTATCAAGAATATTTCCATTTACATCCATTACGTGAGCATCTACAACGTTATCAGATGCTAAGCCAAATTTCCTCATCAATGAACCGAGCCCATCACCACTGATGATTCCACCAGTGCCAACAGTAAAGCAGACACCGCCTGGAAATGCATGAACTTTACTTTTCTTGGCAATTGCATAGTAAAGCTGGCCGAGAGTCTCCCCTGCTTGAGCCCAAACTGTTCCTTCTTTTAAATCAATCTCGATTTTGTCAAGATTGCTTAAATCAAGCATAACAAACGGGGTTTCAGAGCGAAAAGATATGCCTTCATAGTCATGGCCACCACTTTTTATTTTAATTTGCAATCCTAATATTTTTGCACAGAGAATAACCGGCTTGATATCTGATTCTTTTGTAGGGGAGACTATGAAAATAGGATGTGATGAATTCATCCATCTCGGATTTTTCTGAGCATATTCCAGGACAGACGAATAAGTTGGAGAATTTAGGGTGTAAATGTTTTGTGTAACGTTGGTTTCAGAGTATTTAGAAAGACACTGGACTAAATCTTCTTCTTTGGAGTAATAACATTTGGCCAAAAAAAGTAAAAGAGAAAGAATTTGAAGGCTTGCCATTTCTATTAGAATAGAAAAAGATAAAACATAATAGAACGAAATTTCTATAATGAGAATGACAAAGAATGAGCCATCATGCTAGGAGGGGAAAGAAGATGAATTTGATCTTGAGGTATCCTTTCAAATGATCATATTTAAGTAATAAATATTTAGTGTAAATTATTTATTCAAAAGTTTAGAAGAAAAAAAAAGAAATTTAATCAACAGCTTGGCACATGAAACTTGAAAGTACACATATAAATCTGGATTTTCCGCTGGCAAGATTAGTGTTTTAATTTATTTTATACAGATGCCTCTATTTTAAAATTAATACATGGGAGCATCGAATTTCTCCCACTTGTACTTTATAATTACTCCCTCCGTTTCACAAAGAATGACTTCCTTTTCTTTTTAGTCAATTTCAAAAAAATGACTTCTTTCCTTTTTTGGTAACATTTTACTTTTTGCTTTCCACGTGACATGTTTAAGACTACAAGATTAAGGGCAATTTTGTACATTTGACATAACTTTAATTTAGGACCACAAGATTCAAAAGTCTTCTTTAATTTCTTAAACTTTGTGCCAAGTCAAACCAGACCAATCTTTTTGAAACGGAGGGAGTATTTAAGTAGAGCGGTTTCCACGTGTTAAAATAATTATTTAGTGTTATTAGGTAGTGCTATAAGTTATAACACACGCTTGAAGTGTTATATTAGGTAGTGTTACAACATACTCTTGAAATTCTCCCATTTCATATTTTTTTGATATTCTCCCCTTCTTCTATGATTTATGTTGGTGTAATATACTTCAAATATAATAAATTATCGTTGAAAATAAAATGATAAAAAGGAATAAAAAAATATTTAGGCTGAGACGCGGATATCTCATTCTCTTTAAGGGGATTCAAGTCCACTACGACATATAATCTACACCAATCCAACAGTATTACTCTTAACTTGTCCTCTACAGGATACAACAGCCTAACAACGTTGTACAATATAAATTATTCCAAATTAGTTAAGAGTCCAAAGGTCCGCATAAGAACATTTTCTTTCAACATATAAATACTCTCTTTTATATAGTGAATATAGTTAAAGACTTAGAATACTTACTTTGTCTCAACTCTCTCTTTCACTACTATACCCAACACAAGGGAAGATGCACAATTATTTATAGGTAAAGACGTCTTTCATGTAATCAATTGGTAGAATGAAGGGTAGTAATGTTTGCAAATGAATGTGATAGATGTTATATAAGTTATAAAAAATTAATGATCATATGATCAGTTACAAGAACTAATGGACATATATATAAGTTATCAAGAATTAATAGTCATCTTCTACCGCAATTTATATCCACTAACATATGCATTTAATATTTTATTTTAATAATCTAATGCATACACACCAACAATTTCTATATTTTCTTGCAATTCCAAGATAGCAGCTTTAGGCATTTTAATTAACTTAACTTATCACGGACTTGGACTGATATGCATTCCTTGAGAAAATTTCGTAGATGGTTATCCAAGTTTACATTCATTTCATAAAAGTCACCCTTTTTTTTACAAACAAAAAAGATCATTTTACTTTACTCCAGCTATCTCAAAAATTAACACTCACTGGATTTTATAAAACTTCCACCGGAAATGTAACGTGGCAGCCTTAATTATTAATGGATTTGCTTAATTAAATAGGATTAACATACTAAACCAACATTTTACTCATGATAATATATATCGAACACAGGAACCCTTATTTGTTGGTTATAATTTAACCCCAACCTAGCAGTGAATATTGAGAAGTTGGTTATAAATTATAGTGACACTTCCATATTTGGTGTCACTTCATTATATATCATTCTATTGTTATTTCAGAAAACGGAATATATAGAAAAACTTATTGTGAGTTTAATACGGAGTAAAAATTGCAAACTAGGATGAATGGGCTAATATGGATTATGATGTTAATAATGGACATAAGTTATAAATATATTCCAAACATTCATCATGATTTGAATGTGAATAAGTCGAATGAGTATCTTAGTGAACACCCCAAACTCAACAAGATACATATATAAATGCTATAAGTTAGAAAAGGTCATTAGTAGTTTATAAAGGATAATTAGTGATCTTTTCCTTAACAACGCTAATTACCCCAAAAATGGGAAGCTCAGCTTAGGCTCTTTTGGGCTGTTTACAAGCAGGAATTTCATGTTCATAGTTTCAACTTTCAAGTTATAGAAAAGAAAAAGACTTCACATTATCAGAGTTTGTTATCTGTATGTTTGTCTTTTGAGATTAGGTCATGATCTTCCGGTAAATTCAGTAATAGTTACATCATTCATGCTGTTTCAACTCCTGCACCGCGACTCAACTCCTTGGAGTATAAAGGTTCCTGAGGCACAAAATTTAACCTTGACATTTCATTCTCCTCCAGTAAGGAAACCACCTGAATCATTGAAGGCCTGTCTTGGGCACGGCGTTGACAACACAAGAGCCCAACAAGGATGCATCCTAAAACTTCATTCTCATCACCTGGTTTTTCAATCATTGGATCCAGTAGTTCTATGGCATTCCCCTTACTCCAAATTCTGCTTGCCTGACCAACAATAGATCGATCATCAATCATGTAAATTGTTTTAGCACAAGGTGAAACTTCTATGTAACCAATTTAAGTGAAGTAATGACGATAACCAGGGGATCGATGATGTACTTACGTACATAGTCTACTAGACCAATATCATAGACTGGGTGCCGATAATCATAATTCTTTTGGCCATTCACAATCTCCAATGCCAGGATTCCAAAACTAAAAACGTCTGATTTTGTTGAATAATGTCCATTTTTCATGTACTCAGGAGGCATATAACCACTACAGCCACAACATAAAACCATCTGTAAAAACTCTAAAATATACATAAGCATGTAGTCTTAATGATAATATACTAACCGTGTTCCAATTAAATGCTGAGTCTTTTCTTCAACATCATCTTCGAATACCCTTGACAACCCTAAGTCAGATATCTTGGGTGTCATCTCTCTGTCTAGAAAGACATTGCTAGCTTTTAAGTCCCGGTGGATTATTGTCAACCTTGAGTCATGATGTATGTAAACTAATCCTTTTGCGATTCCTTTGATAATGTTAAAGCGCATTGGCCATGTTACTGTACCCCTTTTTGCAGGATCTAGACATGTACAAAAAACAGTTACTCAATTTCACTCGAATACTCCTAAATTTCTGTCTTTTGTGGAATTTCAAATATCAAAACAACACAGACAATAATACAAAAAGAAAAATATTATTTAAGAACTCATAGACTAGGAATTTTTCTATTCCATTAATGCAGTATCCCAACAATTTGGCTAGGTCATGATGTTGTAGCTTTGCTATTAACTTGACTTCATTCTCGAACTCAATAAATCCTTGACGTGAAGTCACGTTCTGCTTCTTCACTGCTATTTCTACTCCATTCTCTAGTACACCCTACAAATGTATCATTTAGGTATTAATTCTGTTGTCTGAGTTACTATAAATATGCATTTTCATGCTTGTCGAAAAGAAATAATAACCTTATAAACATTGTCAAAGCCACCATGCCCTATCTTATTGACCAGCGAGAAATTGTTAGTGGCTATAGCTAGATCACTGGAATCATATGCAATGACATTATTGCCTTGCAGCAAAGCTCCTTGAGAATTTGTCAGCTGATTGATTTCTTGTTCATCTGCTATGAGAAAGCAAATTAATCAGAAAATAATGGATGTGAATCATACCTTAATATGAGTATTAGGCTAGCTTTCGTACTTAGGTCTTGTGTTTGCTAAATAATAGTGTTCTAGTGAAACTAAGCTTAGTCTGTAATGAAGAACTATGAAAATAATATAATAGCAGCGCAAGGTGATTCTTTTTACCTAGCACCTTTGTCCTCATTTTTTGACATAGAACCACAACAACTATAAGCAAAATAATAAGTAGTGCCAGCTCTGAGATTAAAGAAGCAAAAACTGTCCATTCATGTTTCCATCTGCTGTCGGAAACAGGTGCATCTGTCCATAAGAAAGTTAAAAGTGTTAGTTGTTTCTTACTCATAAAATTAGGCTTCAGATTTGACATAAACTTTATACGAATTTCTAGAGGTATTTGCTCATTATGTTAAAGACTTTGCAATGAGAATAACTAGATGCATGCAGGGTTGTTTCATCTTATGCTCGATTGTGTAGCAATTATGTGACAACATTCAATCTAATACTTCAAACATCAATCTGCGATGAACCACTTAATCAAGCACTAATATGGGAATTCTATTAATTGATGTTTCTGTGTAAATAATCAAACCTACACAACAATTAACTACTTCACCTTTCAAATGTCATTCTTGCACACATTGTTTTGCACCATATTAATAATATAATCTAGGAATTAAATCAGTTAAAGCAAGCAATCATTTTTACCTAGTTTTTCAGGTGCCATTCGTATAAAAATGTTGTTCCCAGCTATTTGTGAATGTCTCATATCAAGTAAATTTCCCAACCAAATAACACATTTGCTTCAATTTCCGTTGATATTGATGTTAGTATAAGTCATACACGATCTTTCATTTAAGCACTTCTGTTCACACTCCTGGTGGTACAACATTCCCCAGTAAGTAGCATTATCAGGCAACTTCAGTCCAATATTCTCTACAAAGACGTCTTTATTGGTGTAGTTAAGTGAGATGTTTCTCCTACATCCCTCCGTAAAATTCATCATGCCCCATGCATCTGGTGATGCAGCTGTGAAACCATCAGGACACCCGCAGGGGAGATCTCCATCATTACAAACTCCATAAGGCCCACAAATGCTATACTGGTCACATGTGTCCTTATTCAGTGTATTCACTTCCTCCTAGTAATTGGTAGCATTATTCCACCTCAAGAATTGTATTTTCCATCTGGATTCAGTGAAAGTTTCAAACTCCAATCGTTCTTGGCTTTGAATGTGAAAAAAAATGCATTTGTATCGGAATGAAATATTGGTATGAATGCATGGTTATCCATAAGGGCATAACCGCCACTGAATTTCTAGATCTGTCCATCCCAAGGACCCCATCTTGAATGTATTCGCTGGTTTTTCTCAAGAACTAGTTGGGGTAACTGACCTGAGTCACCTGAGTCTAACCTGAACAAATAATCACCTGGAGTTGGATCACCTTCTGTCCTCCAGGACCTCATGGATCGGTCGATGCCAGTTTTCTTGTCCCAGCCAAGCTTCATTCCTGGTAATAATGTGTCAACTAGGTGGTCAAAGCTTTGCCACAGGTACTCTCCAGCCGTCAGATTGCTAGAATCTCCAAACACAAGATTACCTGAATCAAGGAGCTTCAGTACTGGTAAGGGAACTGTACTGTTGGGCTTATGAATCCATACGTTGTTCCCAGTATATCTTGGAGAAAAATGTCTCCTTCTGTGTCTAGTCCTAGCAATGCACCACAATTATACTAATTCATCTTATTTATGTTTAACCGAATTTTGCAAATGAGTTAAATTTGACTAAGTTTGTAATCTCAATTGGTCAATTACTATTCAATTTGACCAAATTAGTAATTCACTTGGCCATATCAAAAGACTAAAGTTTTGGACCCTACTTCTAATTTCCAGCAGCCCATAATTTCAATCTGCTCAGCCCATCTGTCCATTTCTCCTCATTCCATTTTATTTCCCAACCAACAATACGTACAACAATCCAACTTATCAAAGATTCCCAGCCCAACATACCAAATACCCATCAACAACAATACAATATTCCCACCAGCCCACCGTCCTTTAACCCGACCCCACCCCTGCGTCTTCTTCCTGGTGAAACAAGTGAAGAACAACAAACCCATAAAATGGACCAGTCCAGCGATCCAGCGAATCGCAGCCCAGACCCGAGCCCAGCTCGCACGTCTGTCTCCCTCTCTTCCTTATCCTCATCCGTTTGAAGAATTTTCCAGGTGTCGTAATCTCATTTCGATTTCATCCTTGCACCAAATCGGATGGCTATCTTCAAAATCCGTTGGAAATTTGTACTCATTCGAGTCAGCAGCCTTATCCTCCCAAAATTTTGAATTTTGAATTTTGAATTTAAAATTCCATCAAAATTTCATCCGATTCCCCCCCCCCCCCCCCAAAACAACCCTAATTTTCCAGTATAAATACTCTCCCCTTATTCATGGGAAAAGGTTGGAAAAAGAGTCTACATTAGAGACAAAAAATACAACAAATTACTAGTCACACACCGCCATATACATACTTAGAAATAGGTTTCGAAAGAGACTTAAAAAATCCAGATTTTACTTAGTCCCTTCCTCATTCACCTCTGCTCGTTTCGTCGAAATTTTTGGAATCACATTTTTTGGTGGTGGAATCGTCCTCTCTTGCTCGTTGGTCTTAGATCGCTGCCCTGGAAAAAGTAATCTCTTTCTTTTTCTTTTAATTTTGTGATCATGTTGTTGCTGTTGGTTTTCTGATTTTCTTAGTGGTGATATTGAGTTTTTTGTTTTAGCATTTGAATATAGCTGAGTGTCACTCCTCTTGCTAATAAAATATCTTTTTGTGTTATTGATCTAGTTTAAGCTATGTTCGGATCAAATCTTCCCTGTTTAATCTAAGATTGTTTATTGTTTGAATATTTTGGTGTTGTAGGGCTTTTTATTTTTTTTCATTATATCTTCTTTGATGATTTTTGAGCTTAGTTAAGGTTTCGTCGAGTTCTCTTCCTAGTGGATTTGATTCAAACCTTCGTTGGATGTAATACATTGCTTAGCTTCTATCTTCTATGATTTTATGCTTTGTTGGTTCATATTGTGTCCATATTCCTCACAGTTAGTTTAATTACATATTAATTTAGGGATATATACATGAAACTTGAGAATCCATGAAGCTAGAATATGTTCGTGGTTTGTGTTCTTTGTTTGAGTGACATATGTATAGTTTGTTCTCTCTTAAGGTTAAATAGTATTTGTGAGTATGTATTAAAGCAATATATTTGTCCCTCTTCTCACCGTACCTAGTAAAGTGTAATTTCAAAGTCATTTGGGTTATTTGATTAGTCCATAATATTTTTATTGATAAATGATTGTCGGGTTGAGTTTAGTAATCTTAATAGTGTTCATTTTTTAGAATAAAATGTGTTAGAACAGTATTGTCCTATGCTAATATGATTTTATCTTTCTTTTGTATGTGTCACTTGCAATGAGTTCATGTGAACTCTTCCTATCATTTGCATTTCGAGTCGGGATAAAATCCAACTTGTGTTCTCCTTTACCGAGACGGCCTTCATCATTGATTGTTCGAGTTTTGGAAGCTGAAACACAATTGGAAGTTGTTATACAGGAACAAAGTTTATATGAGCTTGTATACTTTGATATACATTTACTGTATACAGTTGATACAGTAAGAGAAAGGGGGTAAAAGCCCAAAATCCCCAAGTGCAGCAGCCCAAAATTTTTGCTTTAACAGGTTCAGGTCCAAGAGAACGGGCCCAAGATCATGTTGGGAATTTTTAGTATTAGGACAGGTTCCTAAAGTTGGGCCAAAAGCCCAAATTTGATATATTTTCTCCTTTGCTCTTTATTTGTTTATTATGTTGACTAATCATTTATTTGATTATGGTTTAATTTAATTAAATCCCCATAGATAGCCATTTCAACCTTTTATCATATTTAAATTAAAAATATTTATAGTTCTATATTTTTTATTTAGTCTTGTCATTTGAACTATTCCCCTTTAGAAATTTCCCTTTTAGTTCATCTCCCCTTAAGATAATTAAAAATGTAATAAAAAATAAAATAAAAAAATAAATGAGTTCTTTTCTTAACTAAAATTTAAAAAAATTAGTCAAAGTCTTTTTAGTCAAATCGCCGATCAACCGCAAGTTAGCGGACATTCCGAGGGCCTAACACCTTCTCGGCTTAAGTGGCGACTCTGTTCTTTTGGAAATTCAATTTCTCTTAAATCATAAGTTGAATCGATTTTTTGAAACTTAGTCATTTTTCCTTTTATTTATATTTTTCGAGAAAAACAACCATAATCCCAGGTACATTTTGCATACAGGTATTGAAAATAACAAACAAATCCTAATTCAAATATTTGTCCAGACGAAACTAATTAATGTCATGCCATTGATTAGGAATTGATTTTGTAATAAAGTATCCTGAGCAGCACCATAACTTGTGAATGAGGCTATGGAGATAAGGAGATAACAGAGAGCGAATACACAAGAAAGCAAGGAAGACATTGGTGGAAAATATATATGAAGGTATAGCAAAGCGCTAGAGAAAAAGATGAAAACAAATGAGCTTCCCAACCCTTTTAACTTTAGAGGAAGGAAAAAAAAGTAACAAACATTAACTGAAAGATGATGTCACAATTTAATTCTTGCAAATCTTCTCCATAAATATTTTTTTCCTCTAAAAAAAATGAGTTCAATATCATCTTGTTAAGTTTACTCCAGATTTTCAAAGTTTCATCTTCCAAGGCTTCTGTAATAGTATATCTTTATTGAAGTCTTAGTTTAAAGATTTATTTGAGAGATAATCAGGTCTTTAATACATACTTCAGACGCCAAAGTCATTCCTGCCCCTCTAGGAAAAGTTAACTTATGAATCGTAACTGACGTTATTGGTTCTAACTTCTATCCGATATAAATCTATTATAATCTGCTTAGGCAGATCAAACAAAATCTTAAAAAATTGTCAAACAAGTAATAAATGAAAGAGGTAAGTTGTAATAATTGCGATTGAACCAATTCTCAATCTAGGCTTGTTATATTAAACTCGACGAAATTTCAAAATTAAATTAATTTAAACATGAATTCAATAGCATCCTTCCCGTTACTCGAATTCTAAACTACCTAAGCATGGTATTAGAGTCCAGAGAGTGGTAATAATTATTGCTTAGCATGTAAAAGATCAAATGAAGGGTAACCTTTTAAGTTTTAACTAAAATGAAATATTTCCTTACTGAGCTAGTGTGTTTAAGAAATTTGTCTTAGCCTCCATACGACAACAACAAGATCGTCTTAACCACTAGGCCACTAAAGTCATCGCTTGGGGCAAATTTTTTTAAAAAAAGTACTTATACATATTATTTAAAAAAATTATATATACTTTTAAATTTAAAAAAAATGTGTAAGAAGTAAAAAAAATGTTACTAGTTTTTCCACTTTTCTAACGGAATGGAACATTTTTTGGGAATAATTTCCTTGTGTGGGAAATTGTGCTTCCTTATTTATCTCTAAGAATTTGACCCTATACTATTATTTACCTTATATTCATCTTATTTATTATTTTTATTCTCAATGTTGAACTTTCTCCTACAAAATCTTTTGATTTACTGTTGTTTACAAGTTACAAAAGAATAAAATTTGCTTTTGAATGTCTTCTTCAAAACTCCAAGAAGTGCAAACAAACAATCATTATATTGAAGGAACGCAACACTATTTCGATATTGTTATATCAACTTAATTATCAAATTCATGCCAAATTTATTTTAAAAAACATTGTCTTAACATTGAACTTTCTTTAACACATAATAGTTATTCTGGTATTGATGATTTAGATTTATTTTTTCAAATAAAAGTGTTAAAAGAAATAATACAAGTAGAAAATAATGATCTAATGGAAATACTCAATCAAATAAAAAGACTTGATTCTTTTCCTAATGCATTAAGTTGAAAGAAGTTTTTCGAAACTAAAATTGCAATAAAATCTTATCTAAATCAACAATATCTCAAGAGAATGAATGGATTAGCTATATTACCAATTGAAAAGGAATTACTAAAATAAGTTGATTATAAAACAGTAATTAATGATATCGCATCTAAAAAGCTAGAAAAGTAGATTTTAGATAAAAGTATATATGATGATTTTTCGATTTTCGTCTATATACTAGGAGTCTCGAGTCCTAAGAGAATTTGAAATTGCCCAAGGCTTTGTTGTAAGTATTCATAGACCAGCATCCCCTCATGCCCTTCAATCAACAATCCAAGATTCATCATATGACAATGAGTCAACCTTCTTTTGTTTTTACAACTATTTATGAAGTCTTTTGATTGTACTCTAAAGGAGCTTTCATGAACTATCAGTTGTTTCCTAAAGTATCACTTTTGCGAGTTTCCTACCTAAACTATCAGATGTTTGTGTTTCATACCTAAACTATCACCAACTACGTAACTAAACACGCCTCAAAATTAATGAGTTAGCTGCTATGTGGATGAAATTTTACGGGCAAATTAAGTTATCTCGAGCATTTTGGCTATTGTATTCGAACACTTGGTCAGCTAGCTTCGAGGTGTGTTTTTAAACTAGTACAACAATAGCAACAACACCCTTTGTCCCAAACATTGTTGGGTGGGCTATATTTGTTTCACATAAACATTACATCAACTATAGTCAATCAGAACAAATGTCTAGTTCAACGGGATTATCAGCAGAATTTTCTAACAAAGCCATTGAATCAGACGAAAATGTCATAGAACTTCCCATAATCTGATTAACAATCGGTTGAGATTGAAGAGGCTGAGGAGGTACTTCTAGCACTTCAACTTCACCTTCAAGCATTTCTAATACTCTACTCATCGAAGGGCGTTGTATCGGATTTGTTTGTATGCACCATAACGCAACTAAAGCCAGCTTTCTAACCATCTTCTTTTCATCATCATTTGCTTTCTTCATCCACCACAATCTCCTTCCCCTTGTTGAACTTATCGTAAATATAATAAGGAAAATATTGGCTGGAATTCTCTTCATTTGCAACTTCATGTCTTTTCAAGTCCAGCATTTCCATTAGCAGCATTCCAAAGCTGTAAACATCAGCTTTGTAAGAGATTGTTCCAATGCTTCTGCTAATCAACTCTGGAGCTACATAACCATCGTTCCTCGAGCAGCTGTGAGAGTCATATGCTATTATCTGTTGGATATAATTTCGCAAGC